TATATATAGGTCTGTTTCTCTCTGGTCAGATTAAATGCAAAAATAAATAAAGTTAAATAAAATAATTTTTTTTAATGGGCTGCATATCCAACAGTGATCATGTAAGGTCACACTAGGCTGTGGTGTTTACCCTGAGTGCGTAGTGGCCCTGCCGCCCAGGTTTGCCTAAGTGCATCCAGGGACGTGCACCTGACCTAATCGCATTTCTCAGAACGGGTGCCTCTGACTAAACACTGCATGACTGTGTTATGCAGTCATTGAATGTTTTGAACTTTAAATATTTGCTCTCCTATCACACGTAACTTTTTTCAGTTTATCTTTTTACCAACACCTTTTATGAGATTTATCAAGATTAATAGGTAAAGTTCTAATTCATTATTTTCACTGCTATATATTAATCCTTTAAATAAATAGAAAATGATTTGTTCTTCTCTTAGCTATTTGTATTCCATTTTTTCCGATACACAAAAACAATACTGGTTAATGTCTCTATGCTGACATATGGAATTATTCATTAGTTGGGGTTTTTTTCAGGGGAGAGGTTTTTGCTGTAGGGCGTGTGCACTCACCACAAAGAGAGACAGACAGAAGGTGAGAAATCACACACACACACCCCCCGAGGGGATGGCCACACCACAATCCCTTGCCATTCTCTTCTTGGGATCTTGGGCATGCATGCACACGCACCCAGCGTGAGTTTAAGCCACTGGGTCCGGGATTCAGGAAGCCACTGGGGCCGGGATTCAAACCATGGTTGACTACATGGAAGTCCAGCAACATAGCCATTACGCCATCTGCTGGTCTTGGAATTATTCATTAGTGTACCTAGCCAAAAATGGAGTTGCTGGGCCATAAAGTGTGTACATTTTTGGCTTGAAACCATTGCCAGACTGCTTGTGAAGATGGCTACACCAGTGTTTCCTTCCGAAAGTAGCTGAACATTTTATTTTCTGCATCTCCTTGCAAGATATGTTAATTTTTTTGTGAATTGAATGCATATAATATTGTTAACTCATAGGATTTGATACTTCATTCTTCTTGTTAGTAGGGAGGTTGAATATCCCTTTAGTGCTTTTAGGTTTCAGCATTTTCTTTCTTTTTTATTTTTATTTTTGGAGAGATTTTTGCTATAGGGCACATACGCTCTCCAGAAAGACAGAGAGACATAAAGCGAGAAATCACCCCCCGGGGGGGATGGCCACGCCGCAATCCCTTCTCCTCCTTTCTCCTCTCAGGATCTTGGGCACGCACATGCGCCCAGTGTGAGTTTAAGCCACCAGGTCCGGGACTCGAACCATGGTCAACTACATGGGAGTCCAGCAACATAGTCATTACACTAACTGCTGGTCTCTCAGCATTTTCTTGACATTTCCTCTATGCTATAAATTACCTATCTTTCTTTTATGGTTTATGTTTATTATTATGCTGTTTTAAAAGTCATTCCCTTTTCAGTTATCTCAAATACATTGTCTTGGGGCAGCAGGTGGCTTAGTGGTTAAGGCTCTGGACTCCCACATGGCTGACCAGACCCGGTGGCTTGAAACTCACACCAGGCACACGTGTGCACATGCCCAAAATCCCAAGAGAGAGAGAATGAAGGAGAAGGGATTGCAGTGTGTCCAGCTCTCCTGGTGGTGATTTCTCGCTTTCTATTTCTCTGTCTCTCTATTGAGCACATGCACCCTATAACAGAAATCTCTCTCTTTTTTTTTAAACACATTTCTTCCATTTTAATTGCTCTTATCAATTTGGAAATACCAATTTTTTAAAGAATTATTTATTTTTATTTATTTATTCATTTATTTTAATTTGACCAGAGACAGATACAGATAGAGCCATAAAGCAAGCTACCAGATCCAAGACTTGAACCATGGTCACCTATGTGGGAGTGTCCAATGCCTTAACCACCATGCTACCTACGGGGTCCCAGAAATCTCTTTAGAAATACTGTGTTATTTTTATTTCGCACTATTTAAAGTCAAGATGGCCTCCCCTCTTCATTCTTCTCTGGAAAGTCTGCTTGAGATAGAGATTATGTGTTTTGCTTTAACTTTACACATACCATAATGTTATCTAGTCCTGATGGAGATGTTTTTGAATCTGGGTTTTTAGACTTCTGATTTTCCTTAATAGTTACTGGCTGTTAAGATTTTTTTTGTTTGTTTGTTTTCCTCCTGAGGAAGATTTGAGACCAAAAATAATCTAGAGACCAAGCAGTGCCTAGAGAGTGAAATGTGACGCTCTGGGAGACTGACCAGTGGAGTGCTCTGGGTCTGGATCAGGAAGACCGACTCCCTGAATGAACTGGGCACATGCATGCCCTCCTCCCGAGCTGGCTGGGGCTGGGGAGGACCCTGATGAGGGGGCTGTCTCTCTCTTTTTATTTTCTCTCTGTATGAAAGAGATGAATAAACTTTAAAAAGTGAACATGAGGGGGGACCAGCAGTTAGCGTAATGGCTATGTCGCTGGACTCCCATGTAGTTGACCACGGTTCACGTCTCGGACCCGGTAGCTTAAAACTCACGCCCGGCGCGTGTGCATGCGTGCCCAAGATCCCAAGAGGAGAAGGAGGAGAAGGGATTGCGGCGTGGCCATCCCCCCTGGGGGGTGATTTCTCGCTTTCTGTCTCTCTGTCTCTCTCTGTCTGGCAAGCGTACACGCCCTATAGCAAAACCCTCTCCAAAAAAAAAAAGGAACATGGGGGGACCAGCAGGTGGCATGGTGGTTGAAATGCTGGACACTCCCACATGGCTGACCACAGTTCAAGTCCCAGACCTGGTGGCTTGCTTTCTCACTTTCTCTCTCTCTCTGTTTCTCTCTGATCAAATTAAAATAAATGAACAAATAAATAAAATTAAATAAACAATTATTTTAAAAAGGTGAACAAGAAGATCCAGTTTATAGTTTTCAAATTTATTGTCAAACTTATTTTTTAATAACTTCCTCTTGGAATTTTGAAATCTCTGCTGTGCCTAGTTTTTCTCTCCTTTCTTATGCATAAGATCAGTTTATCTGTACTTTTTTTTTGTCTTAATGTTCTTAAGTGTTTGCTTCTTTATTAGTATTTTAACAGAAAGGGCTTCTGATTCTCTTAGTTGGTTTTTGAGAGACAAGGTCTTGCTGTTACCCAGGCTGCCCTCTGCCTCAGTTTCCCAAGTAGCTGGGATCACAGACATTTTTTTTTTTTAATTGCTAATGAGTGTGTGTGTTCACAGAGAGAATATACCCCTGCATGGTCCCACCACAGTCCCTTTTCTCTCTGTGTTGAGATTTGGGGCACGCATGCCTGGCATGTTTTTCAAGCCACTGGGGCTGGATTCCATACACAGTCACCCATGTGTGATCTGACTCCCTTAACCACTAGACTGCAGAGCTTCCCCCACAAAGCCCGATTATTTATGAGAAACAATCCCAGGAAAAAGCCAGTTCACACTGGGCCAGATCAGAGTCAGATCACACGAGCACAGTGTTGTAAATGAGGTCTTTCTGGGACCTGCCGGGCCTCCAGTCCACTGGATCGGGGCACCATACACGTACCTCCATGTTTCAGGCTGACTGGGCCAGAGCTTGAACTCTGGGCACCATAGGGATTCTATTCAGCCTCTTGAAGTATGTTGTATTGAATGTTTTTAGTATTTTTTTAAAGAATTATTTAATTTTTCTTTGTTATTATTTATTTTTCAATTTGACCAGAGAGAGAGAAAGGGGAAGCAAGAAAGCAAACTGCCAGATCCGGGACTCGAACCACAGTTGGCCATGTGGGAGTCCAACGCCTCAACCAGCACACCAACTACCAGCCCCTGTTTTTAGTATATTCATAAGGTTTGTTTTTCTTGTTTTAGGGCACACGTAGGTGCATGCTCTCACCAGAGAGAGAAGGAAAGAAACAGAGAGGGAAAGTGAGACATCACCCCCCAGGAGGGACAGCTATGCCTCATTTCCCCCTCCTTTAGTCTCCTCTTAGGATCTGGGGCACACACGCACATGAGACCAGCATGATTTTTTTTGTTGTTGTTGTTGAGAGTTTTTGCTATAGGGCGCGTGTGCTCGCCAGACAGACAGAGACAGAGAGACAGAAAGTGAGAAATCACCCTCCAGGGGAGATGGCCACGCTGCAATCCCTTTTCCTCCATTCTCCTCTCAGGATCTTGGGCATGCATGCACACGCGCCCGGCGTGAGTTTTAAGCCACCGGGTCCAGGACGCAAACCGCGGTCGACTGCAGGGGAGTCCAGTGACATAGCCATTACACCAACTGCTGGTCCCACAACCAGCATGATTTTTAAGCAACTTGGTCTGGGACTCAAACTGCCCAGTCAGCCATGTTGGATCCAGTGCCTCAACCTCTACCCCATTTGTTGGTACCGAGAAGAATTTCTAATAGAGAGCTGGATAAAAATTGAATTCAGTAGCTTTGAATAGGTAGCAGATTTTTGGTTCAAGCACATACAAAGGTTATTGCATAGGTAAGAGCAATTGGGTCATTGTAAGAAACCTGCTTGATGGGACCAGCAGTTGGCATAACGGCTATGTCGCTGAACTCCCATGTAGTCGACTACGGTTCGAGTCCCAGACCCGGTAGCTTAAACTCATGCCGGGCGCGTGTGCGTGCGTGCCAAAGATCCCGAGAGAAAATGGAGGAGAAGGGATTGTGGCGTGGCCATAAGGTGATTTCTCGCTTTCTGTCTCTCTGTCTCTCTCTTTCTGGCGAGTGAGCATAACCTATACCAAAAACCTTCCCCCCCCCCAAAAAAAAGAATAAAGAAAACCTCTGCTTGAGGACCATAAACCTAGTGAGGTCTTGGCCGCCTAGTTTCACAAATAACATTTTATTGGGACACAAACATTTGTCTGCATATTGGCTGTGGCAGCATTTACGTGTAAGTTGCAGAGTTGAGCGGCGACCTTAGAGTGCAGTGTCTTTTAGATATGCTATCTAGTCTCCTGGCTTCTACTGTATACACTACATCCCCAGGAAAATGTTTTTACTGGACTGACCCAACAGAAAAAGCGAGAAAGCTTCCAGTTTAGGCTAAGTCACTTGTTCTGTACAAGGTTAGTGCATAAGCTACAGAGTGGTTTCCTTTGATACTGGCAGGTTCAGGCCATACGATGGGCCTGTGAAAGACCGAGCTAAAGAGTCAGTTATAGACTTTGTCCTGGGACCAGCAGTTAGCGTAATGGCTATGTTGCTGAACTCCCATGCAGTCAACCGCAGTTCGAGTCCTGGACCTGGTGGCTTAAATTCATGCCGGGCGCATGTGCGTGCGTGCCCAAGATCCCGAGAGGAGAATGGAGGAGAAGGGATTGCAGTGTGGCCATCCCCCTTGGGGCATGATTTCTCTCTTTCTGTCTCTCTGTCTGTCTCTGTCTTTCTGGCGAGTGCACATGCCCTATAGCAAAAACCTCTCAAAAAAAAAATTAAAATAAATAAAAAAAAAAATTAAAAAAAAAATAAGACTTTGTCCTGGCTTAAGTTTCATCAGCTGATTAGAAAAGCCCCACCAAGTTCTTTTCTCTTCAGTTTTATTTCACCCGTTTCATCTAAATATGAAGCACATGGAGCGTCACTCGAGGTCCATGGTGACCTCAGACAGGGAGGCAGCCATGTGTGGGAGTGCTGGAAATAAACCCGTATCTGTCCAGTGGGAAACGTGTATCTAACAAGAGAAAGGAACTTGTCTGTCCAGCAGGATCTGCGCTGACATTTTGTACCCTGACCCCATGTTTAGAAAAATATGCAGGGCTTTACTTCTTTTTTGAGTTCATTTTCAAACTAGTATGTTTTCCTCGCCAAACCGTTTTTACTGTTTCTATAAATACCTGCGCTCCAGTTCCTCCTGCGTGTGTTTTTCTCGTGGCCAGCTGTCAGGTTCAGCTCGGTCACGCAGCACACATTCTTCCGAGTTCAATCCCAACCCTTCAGATACCTCCTCTGTATTACTATTTTAGTCCTTATAACAGTGCCGCGTTTGTGTAAGTGAAAACGCATCCCTGCTCATTTTCATTTTTCTCTGATGTTCTAAAATATTCTTCTTTCACGTGAAATTAGAACACGTGTACCCCATCGATATATCGGGACACCTTAACCTCCGGGCCACAGACAGTGGGCAGTCAGGCTTTTTTGTCAAGTCAGATAGATTGTCTGCAGGTAAACCCACCCGGCCTTTGGGAGGCTTGGCAGCCCTCTGTGCCCCCGCCCGTGCCCCCTGAATAAATGGGAACGCAGTCTTTTTGAGAGTCATCTCCATTTTGCTTCACGTTTGAGTTGCACTAACAGCATTTACTTATCTTTTAAGAGAGCTGGGCAAAAGTTGTCTAACAAGGGGCCTGCAGGTAGAGTGGTGGTTGGGGCACTGGCCTCCCACACGGCCGAGAAAAGTTGTCTGCTGGTCCTGGTACCAGCGGCCTCGGGAGGAGGAAGGATGTGGCGGCAACACGACCTCAGGTAAAGGATATTTACCCGTTGTTGGAGCCAGTGAGCTTAGACAGGTGCATGGGTAAGAATCAGGACCAGAGAAAAGCTTGCTACGACGGGTTAGAAGAGAATAAGGGTCTACCGTTCGCCCTGTGATAGAGCTTAATTGTTTAGCTCTTGTGTGATGTGAAAGGTAAGGAATTGCTCCTGGGGTCAGAGGATCTGAGAAGGAAGTTAGACGTTACCGAGGTTGTCACGGCCTTCATTAGAACCGTAGACGTGAAGTGCCGGGGCCAGATGAGATGACCTGGGCTCCCGGCTCTCGGCCCCAGCTTGACTCCTGTCAGACTGTCTCTCTGACAAGGATGTTTTTTCCTTCCCGTGCCCAGTGGCCCCTCCTCTCCGTGGTTGACGAGGAAGCGCTTGGACTCGTGCCCGGTGTGGCTGCAGCCGGGGTGGGAGGCGGTGCAGGGAAGTACGGACGTGCACTTTGACCTTCGTGTCAGCCTCACATGTGCTGCGCCGTGATAAGGATCGGGGACGTTTGTAGAAATGAGAACACGCATACGTACTTTTCTTACTTGGGAAGCACATTTTTAAAAGCAGAAATAATGCAGGTCTAAAGCAATCTGTTGGTGAATCAGTTTGCCAGAATTTCGTGTGACGGTTTCACTCCCAGCCTTGTCTTGGTGGAATTAGGGAAGTGCTTAAGGAGATAGAAAATAATTTCTCCCCTTTGGAAGGAATTTTAGAAACTGTTCAATAAAACTTTTCCTTTTTACTGGATTTTTTTTTTAAACATTATGCATTTATATTTTTATTTATTTTGGTTTAACGAGAGAGGGACAGAGAGAGAAAGAAAGTGGGAAAACAAGCCACCAGGTCTTGGACTTGAACTGCTGTCGGCCATGTGGGAGTCCAGAGCCCTTAACCACCACGCCACCTGCTGGGGCCCTCTTACTGGGTTTTCACACAGCCTAATTCGTATACTCTCTTCTTCCCTGATAACACACAGTCGTCTTCTTTTCTACAGTCCTTAGGGACTTCCCCAGTGTTTTTAGGACAATGACAGAAGTCCTTCCAGTGTCCTAACCATCCCATCACTGCTGGTCCGTATCTGAGAAGATATTTTATCTTCACTAGAGATGAGAATAAGTAAAAATCAAAGTAAAATGCCACCTATTATTGATTTAGTAAAAATTATTTTAATTCTCGGGCTGGCAGGTGGTGCGGTGGTTAAGGGCGCTGGACTCCCACGTGAACAACCGTAGTTCAAGTGCCGGACCTAGTGGCTTGCTTTCTCACTTTCTCTCTCTGCCCCTCTCTGGTCAAATTAAAATAATTAAATAAACAAAGCTCAGTAAAATAATTCTTAAAAAATAAATAAAGGGACCAGCAGTTGGCGTCATAATAGGTATGTTGCTGGACTCCCATGTATTCGACCGCGGTTCGATTCCTCGACCTGGTGGCTTAAAAACTCACGCTGGGCCCATGTGCATGCATGCCCAAGATCCTGAGAGGAGAAGGGATTGCGGCGTGGCCATCCCTCCTGGGGGGTGATTTCTCGCTTTCTGTCTCTCTGTCTGTCTGGCAAGTGCACGCGCCCTATAGCAAAACAAACAAACAAACAATAAAAACCTTCTCCGAAAAGGTGGAGTGGAAAAGCTCCAGGTGGTGTCCCTGTTCAGGCCACGTGCCATGAGTGGAGCTGGCCATGGAGTGTCAACTGCAGCAGCTATAGGTCACCGGCCAGTGAGGCCACTGCAGCTCCCTTAGGGCCTGGCGGGGCCAGCGTCGTCCGGCAGTGCACTGCTAGCTGGATGTTACACAGCACGGGGGTCCGTGTACATTTCCCTGGAGCGCTGGAGTTCCGCCTATCCCACCGTCTGTGGGAGCAGAGATCTACTCCCCATGGGAAGGCGGAGTTTGTATTGTTCTGTATGGCAGTAGTCCAGTAACGGCGAGTGTATCAGCAGTAATAAAACCTGATGGTAGTGAAAGGAATCCTTTGCCAGGCCAGTATCTCCTTTCAAGGACCAGGTGACCCTGCCCGTCTCTGCCTTTCAGGATGCTGCCCTACGGCTGCCTCGCCACAGGAGACCGCTCCGGCCTCATCGAAGTCGTGAGCACCTCCGAGACCATCGCTGACATTCAGCTGAACAGCAGCAATGTGGCCGCCGCCGCCGCCTTCAACAAGGACGCCCTTCTCAACTGGCTGAAAGAGTACAACTCTGGGTTCGTTCCTCCCGTTCAGTTAAAACAGCCCAACATAGAAATCCTCAGGGTGTGGAGGAGATAGCGCCTATTCGTGGCCTTGTCTGGGGTTAGACGGAACAGCGCACGGTGCTTCCTGAAGCTTCCGGGGGGTTCCTAGAATTCTGCTTTGTCCTGTTGGGATGTCTGAGCCCCGCGGTCTAAGAACAGAGTCCGTGTGTGTCGGCGTGCATGCGTGGTTGTCAACGGGGCTCGCCGTGTCGTTCTCCTGCCTCAGCTTCCTGAGCAGCTGGGACCGTAGGCACATGTCACCATGCCCAGCTCTTTCAGTGGGGTCCTGCCGTGCGGCCCACACCTGGTGCGAGCTCAGGACTCTCCCCTCAGCTCCCCAACATCCAGGGTACACGGACCCTCACCGCGCCCAACCTCTTAGGGTCCGCCAGGAAGTGGGCCTGGGCCTCCCGCAGTTTCCTGCCAGTCCTCTTTTGAAATTTCTTTTCTTTAAGTTAGATCATCATTTATTTAAATGTTTAAAACAAATTGAAACAATTGCTGTCATTATTTAAAAGTGGCTCATTCTTTCAGTAGCTGTCGAGTAGCAGCGTCAGCAAGCACGCGCTACCATGACTGGGACTAATTCGACTGTTTTAAAGAGGACATTGAAGTTGTTGTTTAACTGCATCAATTTTTGTAATTATGTGACTGATGAACTAAAGTAAAAAAAAATTTTTTTTTTTTTTGGAGAGGGCTTTTCGCTATAGGACTTGTGCGCTCGCCAGACAGACAGAGAGAGACATAGAGACAGAAAGCGAGAAATCACCCCCCGGGGGGATGGCCACGCCGCAATCCCTTCTCCTCCATTCTCCTCTCGGGATCTTGGGCACGCACGCACACGCGCCCAGCGTGAGTTTTAAGCCACTGGGTCCAGGACGCGAACTACAGTCGACTACGTGGAAGTCCAGCGACATAGCCATTACGCTAACTGCTGGTCCCCCTAAAGTAAAATTTTAATACATTAATTTTAAGGTAGGAGTTAAAGGGTTTGTAGACCATAACTTCTCCAAGCTAATACGGTTCTTACGTTGGAGTCTTGATATACGGGAAACAAAGGACACTCTGCAAGTAATTTTGGCTAAACCAAAACCAGACTCGAATTTTGTCATTGGTTAGATGCAAGGACTGGCATGTGAGAATTAGTTTCCAAAGTTCGATCTCAAGCACTTGACTCCGAAGAGTCTGCGTTAGTTACTCCCTTCTCATGGAAGTCGGTCACTTAAATGGCTAAACTGCAGCATCTAATCTCAGACGTGGAATTCCCACGTCAGGGACGACAGACAGACATGCTCCTAGCCCCAGCGGGACCTGGCAAACCCATGGTCCCTCTCCCTGCTGGGCACGTGGAGTCGGGATGGCTGCGGCCCAGCTCTCCAGCAGCCTGGGCCGGCCCACCTCCTTCCACCCCGCTCGTGTGGTGGTGGCAGCCCGGGCTGCAGTTCTCGATTACAATGGAGACCTCGCTGTGGTTAGGTCTCGCCTCATAGATGCGGAGGCTGAAAGCTTCGTTCCTTACTTCTCCTTTTTCTCTGCTACAGGGATGACCTGGACCGAGCCATTGAAGAATTTACCCTGTCTTGTGCTGGCTACTGTGTAGCTTCTTACGTCCTTGGGATTGGTGACAGACATAGTGACAATATTATGGTCAAAAAAACTGGCCAGGTGAGTTGCTGCCCAAAGCCCGCCAAGGGCCCCAGTGATGGTGTTACTTCCATAATCTCTCCTGGACCTCAGGCAGACTCTTTAGTGATTCTTAGAGTCATTTCTTTTTTATTTACTTCAATTTCCTGCTGACTTTTTAAACTTCTTTGCTTTAAGTTATATCATCATTTATTTCAATGTTTAAAACAAATGGAAACAATGACTGTCATTATTTAAAAGTGGCTGCTTCTTTCAATATAAGAAAATATATTTGGGGGACGGCCATGAAGCCTGGTGGTTAAGGGAACCGGATCCCACCTGGCTGAACTTGGTTCTACTCTCAGTCCTGGTGGCTTGGAAAACATGTCAGGGGGACCAGCAGTTAGCGTAATGGCTATGTCGCTGGACTCCCACGTAGTTGACCGCTGTTCAAGTGCCAGACCCTGTGGCTTAAACTCACGCCAAGCGCATGTGCGTGCGTGCCCAAGATCCTGAGAGGAGAATGGAGGAGAAGGGATTGCGGCGTGACCATCACCCCTGGGGGGTGATTTCTCGCTTTCTGTCTCTCTATCCCTCTCTGTCTTTCTGGTGAGCGCACACGCCCTATAGCAAAAACCTCTCAAAAAAAAAAAAAAAAGTCAAAACCAAAAGGGACCAGCAGGTGGCAAAGTGGTTAGGGCGCTGGACTCCCCCATGGCCTACCATGGGTTGAGCCCTGGCCCAGTGGCTTGAAGATCATGCTAGACACATGTGCGTGCATGCCCAGAATCCTGAGAGGAGATTGGATTGAAAAGAGAAAGGATTGCAGCATGGTCAAACCCTTTCAGGGTAATTTCTCCTTTTTCATCTCTCTGTTTGTCCACATGCCCAAAATGGCAAACCGCCCCCTTACACCCCAATAAAGTCAAAACTGAAAAAAGAAGGCATTATATCTATAAAGTAATAATAGGATTCTACTTTTCTAAAAATCAGAAAATAGAAGTCTTGGAAATTAGAAACAGGACTAAAAAGTGCGAGCCCATACCTGGTGGTTGAGGGGGCCGGGTCCCATTCAGCTCACCACGGGACTGCTGGCCCTGGAGGTGAGGAACACACCTGGCACCCATGTGTGCGTGCCCAAGTCCCAGCCAGATGGAGGGATGCAGAAGGAATGTGGGGGGCCGTGCCCCGTGGTGAGGTGCTCTCTCCCTCTCCTCTGTCTCTCTGCCTCTCTCTGTGTGCCCTTTAGCAACAACAAAAGAAATAACAACAAAGAAATGTTCAAATGAAACAGTGTAAGACCTCGTAGTAGACACCCTTCTAAGCGATTTGGGTTTGGGTATTCCGAAAGTTTATGGAGGAGCCAAACAGTGACCAGGAGTAAAATGCCATACTCGGCTAGGCCACCCCACACAGACAGCTTCCCCGTTTTAGTCCAGAGACCTCCCGAGAACACTGGGCATGTTACTGCCCATGGCCAGGGTTAGCTGAGGGGGTGCCTCACGGGAGACCCTCACGGCAGTGCTCACTCATCCATCCTCCCTGTTCCTCTCACTTACAGAAAAATGAAGCAAACTTTTTTAAATTTTAAAGAAAGTGGGGCCAGTGGGTGGCATGGTGGTTAAGGTGCTGGACTCCCACATGGCCAACTGTGGTTCAAATCCTGTACTCGGTGGCTTGATTTCTAACTTTCCATCTCTCTCTTTCTATCTCTCTCTCTCTCTCTCTCTGATGAGCATGAAAAGAAATAATAATAAATAAAATTAAATTGAAAAGTTCATAGGAAGTATATCTTACTAAAAAAAACCTGTGCAAATTTTAAATATTTTTTGCACAAAAATAAACTCTTATTTGATGCTATGTTTCCACAAACTTTTTTTTGAGAGATTTTTGCGATAAGGGCATGTGTGCTTACCAGAGAGACAGAAAGCACAAAATCACCCCCCAGGAGGGATGACCACTCCGCAGCCCTTTCTCCTCCATTCTCCACTCAGGATTTCGGGTATGCGTACACATGTGCCCGGCATGAGTCTTACTGCAGTGGACTGTGTAGGAGTCCAGTGAAGTAACCATGACGCCATCTGCTGGCCCCTCCACGAACTTTTTGAAGTCCCCTTGTGTGTTAATGCTGTTGGTCCTTCTGACAACCTCACAGAGTAAATGGAAGCCTTCTTACTCCATTTTATAGGTGAGGAAGTTGAGGCAGCAGAGTGGGCTGCCAGGCACACCGTTTTTGTACGGCTGGATGTGTAGACAGGGGCTTGCTCCATCACAGCCCTCCTGGCTCAGCCTTCCAAGGAGCCAGGCCCCGGGGGTGGTGCATCGCGCACCTGGCTTTTTACTGGCAGTTGGGCCAGAAGTGGAATCTTGGTTTCGCATGTGACCACAGCTGGGACTCATCTTCATCTTCTTCTTCTTCCTCCTTCTGTTTTTTCAAACCATTGTTCCTTAATATCTCAAAAAAAAAAAAGAAGATGGTGCAGGAATGATAGCGACCCAGTGCAGGGGGGTATGCCTGTCTGTATAGCATTTCCACAGAGCTCAGAGAATTGGAAGCGAGTGAACGTAACAATATAAAGGGGTTTCTCAGAGCCAGAGTTCATGAATGTCCAGAAGGAATAATACCAGAGTTTTCCATGTAATGGAATAGCCCCTTACCAAGGCCCTTCAGTGTGAAATTTCAGTAAGTCAGGCACTAAGAGGTCTCAGAAACCTTCCCAGAAGTACAGCAGGCCACCTGCCAGGGATTTGGAGTCAGCCGAGTTGGCTCACCAGGGGCTGCGCTGGGAACTGTGACACGGGATGTTAATCTCCATAATTTGAGGGAAAATGATTTTTTCTTAAAAGAGGTTTTTGCCATAGGGCATATGTGCTCACCAGAGAGAGAGAGAGACAGTGAGGGGGGAGGTGGCCACACCGCCATTCCATCTCTTCCTGGGATCTTGGGCTCGCACACACATGCGCCTGGCATAATTTTCAAGCCACCAGGTTTGGGATTGAACCATGGTTGGCCATGTGGGAGTCCAGCGATATAGCCACTACGCCATCTGCTGGCCCATGGGAAAATGGTTTTTTAAATTAAGTTTACTTATTTCTTCCCTGAGAAGAGCAGAGACAGTCACCCCCAGTAGGGCCTTCATGCCACAGTCCACGAGGTCATCTGGTGTGGGTCACAGGCCTGTGGACACAGCTAGCGTACTCAGGGAAGTCCAGGGTACAAACCTGGCCTGGATCTTCCCTGTGTGTGTCCAGTTGCTGCCCCCACCTGGTACCAAGGGACATTATTTCCAACATAGATTTCTGTGATCAAACGGCCAGTCGGATTTGAAGGTGCTATTTATAGGGACATTTTTGAATGTCTCCGAAGCGACACCCCCTAATCCTCTCTCAGGGGCTGCCAGAAGGACGGCCCGTAAAACCAGGTCCCCCCCGCAGTTTTGATCTAGGGTGACAGCTCTCGGGGTGTTCCTCACGTATGAAGACCTTCCTGTTGGTAGTTTTCTGACTGGTGGGGCGGGGTGGACTGGCATGTCGTGGGTACAGGACAGGACGGTGCTGTGTACCCTGTGGGTGGTCTAAGAGTTAGAGCCCGTAACGGAGAATCGGGCCGGAAACGTCTGTTTTGCCACGGTTGAGGAAGGAAACGGAAGCGTGACCTGGGCCTCAGGAGAGGGGTTTCCCATGGGGAAGGGCGGAGGAAAGCCGGGGGAGGCGCTGTGCAGAGCCGAAGAGCAGCCAGACCCGCAGGTTGCCGGCCACAGGGAGGGCAGTTTTGAAAGTGGTTTTTAGATGTTAAGAAGAGTTTGGGGTGAATTAATAGAGTTACAGAACACTAAGCAACAACAAGTCATTTTTCAAATAAAAAAGATGAACATAGAAGGAAGTGTAGAGAACAGCAGATAGCACGGTGGTTACATCACTGGGCTCCCACATAGCTACAGCTTGAGTCCTGGACCTGGCGACTTGAAACTCCTGCCAGGCACATGTGCATGCGTGCCCAAAATCCTGAGAGGAGAATGGAGGAGAAGGAACGTGGTGTGGCCGTCTCCCTGAGGGATGATTTCTCATTCTCTGTCTCTTTGGCGAGCTCACACACCCTATAGCAAAAATCTCTTTTTTAAAAAAAAAAAAAGAAAAAATGGAAATCGGGATCAGCAGTTAGCATAATGGCTATGTTGCTGGACTTCCATGTAGGTGACCGCAGTTCGAGTCCCGGACTGATGACTTAAACTCACGCTGGGCGCCTGTGTGTGCATGCCCAAGATCCCGAGAGGAGAATGGAGGAGAAGGGATTGCGGCGTGGCCATCCCCCCAGGGGGTGATTGGGTGATTTCTCACTTTCTGTCTCTCTCTCTTTCTGGTGAGCACACGCACCCCATAGCAAAAACCTCTCCAAAAGAAAAAAGCGAAATGTAGTGAAAGTATGTACCACATGATTTAGATGTGGAATGTGTTTATTTACATCATCGGGACAACATAAAGCGGGAATATTAATTTAATCGGATATTATGACACCATGTATTGCATCATGTAGCATTATGTGAGCACAAGAGGATCAAGTCTTTGTCTTTCAAAATAAAAATAATCTCATATTAGGAAATAAAAGACAAGTAAGAAGATACTCAAAAGAACAGAGGCAGCTACCAGGGAAAACGTGAAACTGGGAGGTGTCACCTCTAAGGAGCAGCATTCTGGTTGAGGGAGCTAGTAGGGGTCGGTTATACTCTTCTGGTTGCCATGCTTTGTAGAACTATTTGACATTTTAAAATAAGACGTGTTTATTATTTACAGATTTTTGTCAGAGATTCTTCTTGCCCTCTGGCTACACAGTTTATATCAGGGTTATTACCGAATGCAGAAGACCTAAAAATGTTTGAAATAATCTCTTCTGAGCCGGCAGGTGGTGTGGTGGTTGTGGTTGGGGCGGCTGGACTCCCAACATGACTGGCCCTGGTTCGAGTCCTGTCCCTGGCAGCTTGATTTCTCATTTTTTCTTTCCCTTTCTCTCTCTCTCTCTCTCTCTGGTCAACTTCAAATAATAATAATAATGCCAATGAATAAAAGTTAACAAATAAAAATAGTTCTTTTTTTTTTTGGAGAGGTTTTTGCTATAGGGTGCATGTGCTCACCAGAAAGACAGAAAGCGAGAAATGACCCCTAGGGGAATGGCCACACCATAATCCCTTTTCCTCCATTCCCCTCTCGGGTTGTTGGGTACACACGCACGCGCCTGGCGTGAGTTTAAGCCACCGGGTCTGGACTCGAACCATGGTCAGCTACATGGGAGTCCAGCGACATAGCCATTATGCTAACTGCTGGTCCCCCAAAAATAATTTTTAAAGAAAAAAAGAAAGAAAGAATCTCTTCTTCCCAAGTGGCCCGTGGGCTGTGCATGCCAGCAGCAGGGCTCAGCTGGCAGGGTGGGCGTCTGGAGCCGTGGGACCCTGGCTTTCATATCTGAAATCTCGAAAACTAAAGGCCGTTAAATCTCATTTGTTTTCCAGCTCTTCCACATTGATTTTGGACATATTCTCGGAAATTTCAAATCTAAATTTGGTATTAAAAGGGAGCGAGTGCCTTTTATCCTTACCTATGACTTCATTCATGTCATTCAACAAGGAAAAACGGGGAACACGGAAAAGTTTGGCCGGTGAGTACTGCCCTCCATCAGGGCTGAGTTCATCTCCCACGTCCTGTCCGACAGCTGGGCTAGCATCTCCCGCTGAGGCAGAGCTGGCTGCGGGCGGTCCTCCATCTCACACAGAGGACTTTGGGGGACTCGCCTGTCAGATACTCGCTTTAGCTCAGAAGCGCTCAGGGAGAAAACACAGAATGCTAGAGTTTGAAATGCGTTACTTTTTGTAGACTGTCTTTGGTAGCAAGCTGCGGAGAGGGCTGGCCGTGTGGAGGACGGTCCGGAAGCCAGGGCTCGGGGACAGACTTTGCCATCTCTGGTCTGTCCCCTACCACGCACATGGTGACTTCGTGCCTTTGTCTTCTCGTCTTGGGATGGCAGCAGACAGAGCAGCCACTCCGGGCTGCTGTGATGAGAGATGTGGTATCGTGCGACCATCACGGGCGCTGTGCGTTACAAAGGGCTGCCATAACCAGCCGTAGCTTTGCCTGGGCTCCTGCCGAAAATGCTTCTCCTGGTCTAGTTTTCTCTTTGGCCAAGAAGTGGGGCTCAGAGTGGATGGTCTTCTCAAGTTCCATTTGTGGGGAGCGAGAAGGCCAGACGACAAGGAGTAATGCAGACGCGCTGGCTCTGACTTGTCAAGAAATTAATCCCGGGTCGGCAGGTGACGTCGTGGTTACATCGCTGGGTTCCCACGGAATCAACCATGGTTTGAATCCCAGACTCAGAGGCTTAAAAAAAGAAAAAAAAAAACATGCCGGGCACATGTGCGTGTGTACGTGCCCAGAACGTCAAGAGGAGAATGGGATTGCAGCGTGGCCATCCCCCCGGGGTCATTTCTGTTTCTAGCTCTCTGTCTCCCTCGTCTCTCCAGTGAGTGCATGTGCTCTATAGCAACAAGAAAAGAAAAAGACAAAAAGAAATTAATCTCTGGAGTCGGACCACAGATTCAGAACCCACAGTACATTCGGAAATTCTCGTGTATTATAATTCTTATTGGTTAATGATGGGTTCTCGTTTCTCCGAGAATTAGAGAGCCTAGGTTTAGTCATCTATTGTCTGTGTCAGAGAATGTCAGTTTAGGTTTGTTTTGGGGGAAATGTGTGATTTTTGGAGAGCCCGACTCTGTCGTGTTGTGGAGATTTTAGTCCCGGGACAGTTCTCCAGAAGTGAACGTTTATAGGTAGCAAGTTGAGCTCCACCTTTGTCTGCCCCCCGTGTAACGTGTGCCTGCCCCGACACCTGCTCGTGCTCGGGGTCTGCTCCGCCGCAGGTTCCGCCAGTGCTGTGAGGACGCGTACCTGGTCTTGCGCCGCCACGGGAACCTCTTCATTACCCTGTTCGCCCTGATGCTGACCGCCGGCCTGCCCGAGCTCACGTCCGTCAAGGATATTCAGTATCTTAAGGTACACCCCCTCCCGCGTGCCGGACGGCGCGTGGACTCAGTTCGAGCTGCCTGTTTCTTTGAAGTGTGTCGGGGAGGTGAGCAGTCGTTTCCTCCGAGATGGAGGACGAGAATCTGAGACGATCGTGTGGAGGGAGAGCTTGGAAAGAGGAGCTTGTGACCCGGATGGTTTTCCCCTCGGTGACAGGTGCACAGAGAAGGCTGGAACTGAGGCCAGTAGACGGCATGGCGGTTAAGGCGCTGCACTCCCATGTGGCCCCCCACCGCGAGCACCAGACCCGGTGACCGAAAACCACACTGGGCGTGTTTGTGCCCAACACCCCAAGAGGAGAATGGAGGAGAAGGGACCGTGGCATGGCCACCCTCCCCGAGGGGTGATGTCTCACTTCCCCTCTCTGTCTCTTGATAAGTACATGTGTCTTACGGGGGAAAAAATCATGCCAGGCACATGTGAGTGCATGCCTCAAATCCCCAGAGGAGACTGGAGGAGAAAAGATTGTGGCATGGCCGTTTCCCCTGGAGGGTGACTTCTCACTTTCCTTGTCACTTTCTGTCTCTGACAAGCGCACTTGCTCTATGGCAAGAAACCTTAAAAACAGGGAACCAGCAGTTAGCGTAATGGCTATGTCGCTGGACTCCCACGTATTCGACCGCAGTTCACGTCCTAGACCCGGTGGCTTAAAACTCACGCCGGGCGCGTGTGCGTGCGTGCCCAAGATCCCGAGAGGAGAATGGAGAAGGGATTGCGGCGTGACCATCCCCTCTGGGGGGTGATTTCTCGCTTTCTGTCTCTATGTCTCTCTCTGTCTGGCGAGCGCATGCGCCCTATAGCGAAAACCTCTCCAAAAAAAGAAAAAAGAAAGAAACCTTAAAAACAAATAAAAAGGAAGGTTGGCACTGGGCCACAGCTTACCCCACACGGGAAGCCAGGGGTTGGTAGCTGGTGGTCAGGGGGTCTCCTGCCTTTTCACAGCCTCTCACTTCCCCGTGGGTCTCAAGCCGGCTCACTGGGTTCCGAGGTGGCACGCAGCCCAGTGCGTGCTGCGGTCATTGTAAACTCGCTTTGTCCTCACAGCCCCTCAGCAGAGGTCACCCTGACACCTGTCCTTGGTGTTCATTCACTCTCGCTCCCGCAGACGGACTGAGGCGCGCCTCGTGGTGACGGGAGCGGCGCAGATGCGCGCCTCGTGCGGATGTCAATGGGTGCACGTCTGTAGCGAGGATACGTGAAATCGGGTTTTTTTTTTTTTCCCCTTCGCTTTTAGGATTCTCTTGCCTTAGGGAAGAGTGAAGAAGAAGCACTCAAACAATTTAAGCAAAAGTTCGACGAGGCGCTCAGGGAAAGCTGGACGACTAAGGTGAACTGGATGGCCCACACGGTGCGGAAAGACTACAGATCCTAACGGCAGCCTCTGCGCCGAGCGTGGTCGTCGGTTTCGTTCGGTTCCATTTTGCACTTGCACTAAATTGAACATAACCCTGCCAGAGATGTTAAAAGGGAATGGAATCCTGGCACTCAGATTCAGTGAAGAACAAGACACCCCACAGCACCTGATCTGAACCCCCTCCTGCTTTATGAATGATTCCAAGACTCATGAAGACTGTCACCATTTCGGATAATCATTTCCGGCTGACTTTGCACGCCAAGGAATGCTACTGGGGACCTCTTTACTTTTCTTTCTAAAGTGTTTGGTACTTTCCCAGAGAGATGTAAATACTTCTTTTCAGTGTTGTGACCAAGTGTTACTCAGTCAGCAACTTCCCGGCTCATGGGAGCCGGAAGCTATTCTTACTTTCCAAATAAGGCTTAACAGAAAGGTATTTTTCTTCCTTTTTAAACTGTGTGAACTACGGATTATAATTTGAGCTTATAATTATTTTTGAAAAGAAATCTTTTAAACCTGTGGAAACTCATTAATTCTCTCGTTAATATTTATCTACCATGAGAGATCATCCCAGCCAGACTTGCTGAAAATATACCTGGTAAGGCAAATATAATATATATAAATATGCTGCATCTATATTTATAAAATTTCTAGTGGGAGTCTGTATAAAAAGATGTTTCTTTGGTATTCGTCATCCTGTGTTTTAAAGTTTCACAAAAGCAGAGCTTTTTCCTAAGTTACTTTTCAGTTAGTTAACCGTGTCATCCAGTTCTTCCAACTGCTTCTGTAACGAGGCACGTCTTAATATCATTTTTATATATTATCTATGAAAGAGTTCATTTCATAGAGCATAATACTTGAGCAAATATATCCAAGAAATGCAAGCAATGAAAAGAAACCTATTTATGGGATAAACTCCAGACCTGAAATTCAGTATTTTAGTAAAATGCCAGCTGTTCTTACTGTATTTATTAAAACTTGTAATAATGTGATTTTTTTTTTTCAAGGAAATTAGTTCAAATTGAAATGATTCATGCCACACGGAAGTCTTTAATTTATTTGCTGAGGTACCATGTAGGTAGGGTGCTAGGTGGCAGATAAGGTTACTATGTGCAATAGGAACTACTGGGTTGAATGTGCGAGTGGATGCTTCTTCTGAGTGCTGGCGACATCCAGCGGAACTACTGTTAATTCTCCAAAGAACATTGAGAGCTCAGTCCTCAATGGCGTGGGAGAGAGGACTGAGCATTTACCCTGTGACTGAGTTTTCTATAGGAATTTTATTGAAGATTGTTTAATTTTGTTTTCCTCCTTAATGTTCTCAGTCAGTCAAATAAATGGGTAACTGCTTTCGGCCGTTCTTGGGATGTGTGGGTCTCTTCTTTATGGGCAGCATCCGCTCTCCGAACTCGGAACTGGGGCTTGAGGAAGGAGGCGTGAGTGTGGAGCCCACGTGGCCAGTGTGTGGGTCAAGTCCCACCCAGTGGCTTCAAAAACACACTGGACACACATGCTTGTGTGCCCAGAATCCTAGAAAAAGGGAGGAATGGAGAAGGGATTGCAGTGTGACCATCCCCTTGGGGGGTGATTTCTCACTTTCTTTCTCTCCCTCCCCTCCTCCCCCTGTCCCCCTCTCTTTCTGGCGAGTGCTCACACCCTCCAGCAAATTTAAGAAAAAGAAAGAAAGAAATAGCCAGGTCAGTAAACAGATCAACTTCTGGCATGGCTAAGGCTACTGCTTTTCCTGGTTATTCTCCTTAGACACAGCGTGGGAGGCCTCTTGGACTTCGGTGAGAGCCTGAGGTGAGGGGATGCCCCGCCCAGGTCTTCCATGCCTTTGGGAGGTCCCCTGAGGTCTGGGAGATGCCCATGACCCATGTGGCCCTGAGCTACAGCAGGACTGCAGTGGCTCCAGAGCTCTCCACGGAGCAGATGCTCAGAGCAGGCCAGGCAGGCAGGAATGTGTCACCTGAGGATGTCGGGGGGGAGGGTCTGTCCCCTCTCCATTCTTCAGGCTGGTCTCCATTCAGTGAGAGTATCAGGAGCAGAACTGCAGAGGGCAGGTGTGCTCAGAGATCTCTGTCTAGTAGCCAGGTCTGGAGCGTGCTGCGCGGTACTTGGAAGGAGATGTCAGGAGCACCGCCCCATCCGGAGTGCCTGCCGTGTCGCTCAGTGTGAATGTATTCCAGAGCAAGAAAGGGAAGTGATGCCCATGCGTGTCCCTAGCCTGGGCCTGAGCCTGGGATGGCTCCCCCTGCTGGCACAGGCTCCCCCACCACCCAGGGAAGCAGGACCCTGGCTCACAGCTGCTTAATGTTCCTAGCAGGTGCCCCCGCGTGTTTGCTGAATGATATCTCTGGCTCTGAGAGAGTCTAGCCAAACCAGAGAGGAGACTGTGGGAGGTGGGAGGAGAGTCCTCCAGGATGAGTCTCGGCTCTCAGCCGCAAGGGCGGCTTCTTGTGTAGGAACTGCTTACCCTGTGTATTGTCCCTTAAGCATCCCGGCCAACAATGGATCTTATCCCAGAACACTTTGGACTATCTTTTGGTCCTCTCCAATAGACCTCTAAAACAAGGCTTTAGAAACCAGAATTCCAGGGACCAGCAGTTGGCGTAATGGCTATGTCACTGGACTCCCATGTAGTCGACCACAGTTCAAGTCCCAGACCCGGTGGCTTAAACTCAAACCGGGCGCGCGTGCGTGCGTGCCCAAGATCCCGAGAGGAGAATGGAGGAGAAGGGACTGCGGCGTGGCCATCTCCCCTGGGGGGTGATTTCTCCCTTTCTGTCTCTCTATCTCTCTGGCGAGTGCACGCGCCCTATAGCGAAAACCTCTCCAGAAAAAGAGAAAGAAAGAAAGACGTAGGATTTATGGACAGTAACGGGCTCAGAATTGCCTTTTTTTCCACCTTCCTCTGCTGTCCTGCACTCTAGAACGCTGTGCCTCTTCTCGGGGATCCAGTGCCATCATCCTGGAGACTCTTCTTCCTCCGTTCCTAGCCATCGCTCCTCTTTCTCAGCTGATGGGAAAACTGTCCCGCGTTACTCGGAGTCACTCCTCTCAGGTATGACAGACACCTTCTCCGGGGCCATGATTCCTTCTCACGTGGAACAAAGCCCAGGTGCCCCAGCTCCGAAATTTCAGCCTTAGGCCCTCCCTCCCTTCCTCTCTCCTTTTCTCATTCTGGACAGCAGTCCATTCAGGAAAGTGCATACACCCCTAACAACATACAGATGCCGCTAGCCTGCAGTGCCTACCGTGTCACCCCCACACGGGCCAACAAAGAGCACCGCCCTCGCCTCCGAAGCCCTTCCGGGCCGCCTGGGTGTCGCTGTGCTTTCGTGGCTGTCATCTGGGATTGCGGGGCCTACTTTCTGCATTAGGCGTCTTAGATCCAGCGTGTTTGGAGATGTAGCCATGTCGCTGCCGATGGCCATAGTTCGTTCGTGTTTATCACTGTGTGGTCGTATGTCTTATGGCTGTTCTGTAATTCGGACATCCTTTGTCCTTGTCAGGACACATACGGGTCATTTCTAGCTTGAGGCCATTACAAATAATGCTGCTACGATCGTTATAATCCAGCTGCTGGTCACGAACGTGTCTTTGGGTGGATATGCTTCAGATTCAGAAGTCGGGTTATGCGCATCTTTGACGAGGTCATGTTAAAATTGGTGGTTCTCCCGACTTCCTCCTCCAGTACCCTCAAACGCGAATTCTTGTCGTTCCGTATTCTCACCGATACCCAGCTCACCGACACTCAAAAACTTCTTAGCCATTCCGATATATGACGTCAATTCATTTGCATTTCCCTGCTGAGTAATTAAATCAAGTTGGTTTTGCACAGCGGCTAATGACTACTTGGATTTTCTCCTTTATGAAATTCCTTTTTAAATCCTTCGTCCCTTTTTTAGTGAGTTACTTGGGTTTTTGCATAACGTTCAGAGAATGTACGCTGCGTTATTTCAGTTCTGTCAAGCCCGGGGGGCTTGTTCTGTGTCTTACAATCAAGTGTTATAAATATGTGTGCGCGTGAAAGGCGCCCGGTCTCTGCAGTCGCTAGGGCCCTGCTCTGTGCGTGTTCATTAGGTCTGTGCTTCTAATCATGTTTACATTTTAAACGTCCTTACTGAATTTTTCCCTAGCAATGTGAGAGAGAGAACTTAAAATATTTCACTGCGATTGTGGATTTTCTCATTTTTGTTAATGGCAATTCTTTTTTTTTTTTAATAATTATTTTATTTGACTTTATTTATTTATTTATTTTCATTTGACCAGAGAGGGACAGAGAGAGAGAGAAAGTGAGAAAGCAAGCCACCAGCTCCAGGACTCGAACCGCAGTCGGCCATTTAATAGTCCACTCCCCTTGACCACCACACCACCTGCCAACCCCCTGATGGCAATTTTGATTACGTAGTGTTTGAGGCTATAGCATTTGATACGTACACAAATTCAAAGCTGACTTATTGGGTCATTGAAAAAGTCTTAACACCTTTTACATAGAAATACAGAAAAATATGTCATGACTTTTCCAACAACCCAATATTTCCCTTGTGAATTAAACTTTTTAGGTTTTTGCCATTGGGTGTGCAGGGTCGCCAGTGAGAGACAGTGAGGGAGAAGTGAGAAATCGCCTCCCAGGGGAATGACAATGCCACAATCCATTCTCCATCCTCCTCCTGGAATTTTGGGCAGGCATGCCACACATGCCTAGAGTGTTTTTTTTTTTTTTTCAAACCACCAGGTGCAGGACTTGAACCACGGTCAGCCTTATGGAATCCAGTGCCTTAAACACCATGACACCTGCTGGCCCTGAACCTTTTCTCTTTTTCTTTTTTAAGAGGTTTTTACTACAGGGTGCGTGTGCTCGCCAGAGAGACAGAAAGCGAGAAATCACCCCCCGGGGGGGATGGCCACGCCGCAATCCCTTCTCCTCCATTCTCCTCTCGGGATCTTGGGCGCACACACACACGCACCCGGCATGAGTTTAAGCTGCTGGGTCAGAGACTTGAACCGCGGTCGACTACATGGGAGTCCAGCTACATAGCCATTACGCCAACTGCTGGTCCCTCTTTCTGTTATCATATTAGGTTATAATTTTTGTATTTGACTTATCCATCTCTATCATCACTTGGTATTTTTGTCATTTCCCCTAGCAATGAAAGAACCTTATGACTCTTTTATGTATGTATTTATTTTGCTAAAGGGTACATGTGCTTGCCAGAGAGAGACAGAGACAGGGAGAGAGGGAAAGTGAGCAGTCACTTCCCACGGGGAATGGCCACACTGTATTTATTTCTTCTTCATTCTCCTCTCAAGACTTGGACCACGCACACACATGTGTCCAGCATGTTTTTTTTTTTTCTTTTTGGTTTTGGAGAGGTTTTTGCTATAGGGAGCACACGCTCCCCTGACAGACAGAGACAGAAAGCGAGAAGTCACCCCCCTGGGGGGATGGCCACGCTGCAATCCCTTCTCCTCCATTCTCCTCTTGGGATCTTGGGCACGCACGCACACACGCCCCGCGTGAGTTTAAGCCACCAGGTCCGGGACTCGAATCATGGTCGACTACATGGGAGTCCAGCAACATAGCCATTACACTAACTGCTGGTCCCATGCCCAGCATGTTTTTCAAGCTGCCAGGTCTGGGACTCAAACTGTGGGGTAGGCTGGAGCCAGCAGGCGGCGGCATGGTGGTTAAGAGCACTGGACTCCCATGTGCTGACTGCAGTTCAAGTGTCAGACCTGGCATCTTGCTGTCTCTCTCTGTCTCTCTTCTCTCTCTCTCTCTCTCTCTGGTCAAAACTATGTCATGAGGGGATTGTGGCATGGCCATCCCCCCTGGGGGGGGTGATTTCTTGCTTTCTGTCTCTCTCTGTCTTTCTGGTGAGCACATCCGGCCTATAGCAAAAACCTCTTCAAAAAAGAAAAAGGAGAAAAAATCAAACTATGTCATGACATTCCCAACAACCCACTAATGAACTGTTCTGTAAAGTTATAATGCTGGCCCCAGCTAGCGTTATGTCACTGGACTTCACCTGGCCCACCACGGTTTGAGTCCCAGACCCGGTGGCTTAAAACTCATGCCAGGCACATGTGCATGTTTGCCCAAAATCCCAAGAGGAGAAGGGACTGCGGCGTGACCATCGCCTCTGGGGGAGAGAGTGAGTTCTCACTTTTTGTCTCTGTCTCTGGTGAGATAACATGCCCCATAACAAAAATCTCAAAAAAAAAAAAAAAAAACTTTCTTGCTGTACGATCTACATATGACCATTTCTGATTTGATTGTCTTCAAACATTCTTCATTCTGCTGTATTCTTTCTCCCTCTCTAATCTCCGTTTTTGTAAACTATAAAAGAATCTT